AACCTTTGATTACCCTTTTTTTGGGGGTACGCAAATATATATAGTAGTTTTGCTCATAAGTACCCTCAAACTGTAAACAATCCAATATACTTTCCTATCAATAAATATTAATTGTACAAACTAATGGGTTTCACTCTGACACTTTGTCTGCTTTTAAGTTGGGTTGTTTTCTTGCTATATTGAGTTACTTCTCTATTTGAACATAAGCTCCTTATCAGATATATGATTTACCAATATTTTCTCTTATACCAAAGATCATACATTTACTCTATTGATTCTTTTGCTGTGCAGGGGCTTTTAAGTTTGATATAGTCCACACTTATTTAATTTTACTTTTGTAGTCTTACTTTTGATATGAGATCTAAAAAAATCATTGCTTAGACCAATGTCAAGAAGCCTTTACCTTTTCCTCTAGGAGTTTTATGATTTTAGGTCTCATGTTTAAGTTATTAGTTCATTTTGAGTTGATTTTTGTGTCTGTTGTAAGAAAAGGATTCAATTTCATTCTTTTGCATGTGGATATTCAGTTTTCCCAACACCACTTATTTAAGATACTCTCAATTTCCCATTGTGCTTTCTTGGTGCCCTTATCAAAAATTAGTTGACTATAGATTATCTGGTCTTTCTGTTTTCTTCCATTAGTCCATATGTCAGTTTTTATGCCAGTACTCTACTGTTTTGATACTAGAACTCAAAAACTCAACAAAAAAAAAATTAATTGCATTTCTTTACACCCATGACAATCTATTTGAAAAATAAACCAACAAGACAATCTGACTTATGATAGTGTCAAAAATAATAATATACTTAGAAATAAATCTAACCAAGAAGGTTACTGCACATCAAAAATTATGTATCTGTAAACCAAAAATTATAGAACCCTGATGATAGAAATTGAAGAAGGCACAAATAAATGGAAAGATATCTCATATTCATGGACTGGAAAAATGGATCATGTTAAAATGTCCATGCTACTCAAAGCAATTTGCAGATTTAATGCAATCACTATCAAAAAAGCAAGTGTCATTTTTCTCATAGAAAAAAAAAAGATTTTAAAATTTATACAGAACACAGAAGATCCTGAATAGTCAATGCACAATCTTAAGAAAGAAAAACAAAGTTTGAAGCATTACTCTTCCTGATTTCAAATTATATTACAAATTTCATTTTTATGTTCTTCAAATATCAACGTGGAGTGAGCAAACACAGAATTCGAAAGACGGCTAAGAGTACCCTCTGAGCTGAGGACTGGTTCTTTGAAAACCCACGAAAGGACTTAAATGAATTAAAATATGGTTTTCCTGGGGCTGGGGTTGTGGCTTAGAGGTAGAGCGCTTGTCTAGCACATGTGAGGCCCTGGGTTCCATCCTCAGCACCACATTAAAATGAACGTATTGTGTCCAATTACAACTACAAAATGAATATTTAAATAAAATGGTTCTCTTGAAGAAGAGAGTGTCGTTGTGTTTTACATGCATGCTATGCATCCAATTTTAGTGTCCTTAGTTTTGGGGGCTACCTGTGGTCTTATGTAACTGAGACTTTTGATTAAAGTTTGTAACTGACATTTTTTTAATGTACATATTTTTACTTGTCAATGGATCTTTATTTATTTATATGCAGTACTGAGAATTGAACCCTGTGTCTCACACATGCCAGGCAAGTGTTTTACCCGTAACTGGCATATTTTGACTCAGTAAAGGAGCCTTCTTGTTGAAGTACATTCTCTGCCTAATTACCATGGTTCCAACAAAACACACCTGGAACCAACTGTGATTGATTGTGGGAAACCCAGTACCTAGCAGGAGGAAGACAAAAGTGGGAATGAGGAACAGATATTTTTGATTTAAGGGGTTCTGATTAACCCTCCAAGTCACATCTCACAAACAGTTGCCTATTTTGTGACAATTCTGACTGTACGAGGGCAGTTATTGAAACAGTGTCTAGGGAGGTGCCTAGGTGAAGAGGCTTGGTTTATACCTTTGGTGTGAACAGCATTCTATGCTTATTTTGGGCCTGATGTATGTTTTAAAAAGCTTTGTTATTGTTAATGTTGACTCTCTCCCATAGCATTCACACTATTACATATACATTTCCTGATTATTAACATTGTGAATACGCATTCTACTCTGATGTGACTTTAGAGTCTCAAAACATAATCTTCCCAGCATCATGATATAAACACATCCATTCCCCAGTCACTTGGTTTTCAAAACTGCAGATCAGGTGCTAATGCTGGAAAGGGAAGAAATCCACTTCAACTGTAATCAGCCTGCCTGAAAAGGAGATTATGCAATTAGTGGTAATAGGAATGCTGGGCTAGCACCCCACAAGCTGTGGTTCACAAATCTGGTTCAAAAGTGGATTTCCAGGTCTCATCACTAGAAATTTGGACTTCATAATTCTAGGTTGGAGCACCATTATTGCCAATTTTAGTTTAGTTCCCCAGGAACACTGATGCTGGCCTTTGAATCCCCCTTTGAGAAGACACTTATCTAAAGTACCTATCAGGACATTTATTTTCTTTCACAATCTAAGATGATACAAAACGGATCCAGAATCTGCTCTTCTTTTATCGCCAAAATGCAAAGAACACAGTACTTAGCTATCAGAAAAAGACTGCAGTAACATGGGAGGAAAAGAAAATATGGAGGTTTGAGGAAAAAGGAGCATCAGCTGTAAATGTCACAAGTGCACAGTCCTGGGAAATGGGCCACCTGGTACCCAAGCTCATTATCTTCCCCCAATAAACTGCCATGTATATGCATCAAAGGCACTGACACTAGCAATCTTTTTCTCCTTCGCCTGTCAATGCAGTTATTAAAACTACACTGCCACTCATTTTCGTTCTTTTGTTCAATTTGTCACCCAGTCTAAGAGGTCCACCACAATCAATTCTATCACACACTTTCTTATAGCTCCTTGTCTGATAATGAAGTAGGCAAAAGATTCAGGACTTACTTAAAAATGTATTTCATTTTATACTTCAGATGAATTTCAGAAAAGATTCTTTTGCAAGTGGCTTGCCATTAATAATTGCTGGGTGGATGGATGAAAAGTTGAATTGAATTGAATTATTGTATATATTCGCAAATTACTACTTTCAGATCAAATCATATTTTCAGTACAGCTAACAGTGAGTTGATTGTTAAAGGAAACCCATAGTGAACACTTTTGAAAAGTGAAGATGAGTTTTTCTATTTTCTTTTATTTTAGTAAGGAGAACAATTCTACCATAATGTATCTTTATTAACCTTTTATTTTGAAATAATGTTAGATTACAAAAATCTTGCAAAAGTAGCTCAAAGAGCTCCTTTATGTCTCCATTTAAGTGTCAACATTCCTGAGCTCACAGAGAGTAAGCTGAAAAGGTGGTGTCCTTGTGTTTGTCAGTTTCCCCTTACTGTGACAAAATACTGGAGATAAACAACTTAAAGGGAAGGAAAGATTGATTTTGGTTCATGGTCTCAGTCCATAGTTGGTTCGCCTATTGCTTTGGGCCTGTACATCATGGCAGGAACCCCAGGACAGAGGAGGAGTATTTACTTCATCATCAGGAACACAGAAAGGGGCCAGGTCTGGCATTCAAGGGAATGCCCCAGTGACCTAATTTCTTTCCACTAGGTCCCATCTTCTCAAGGGCCCACACCTCCCAATAGTGCCAGGGAATGGAGACCAAATTTCCAATACAAGGGCCTATGGACACATTCCAGATCCAAACGATGGCACTCTTTGACCCCTTCATACTTTAGAGTGTGCTTCCTGAAAGCAAGGACACTCTCCTGAATGACTAGAGAACGATCTCTACATCAGAAAAGTAACATGGATCTAATTTAATCCTTCTTACTTAGAGACTCTATTGAAACTGCGCTGATTATGCCATTAATGTCATCAACAGGTCTTGGATCCCATTCAAGATCACCAGCTGCATTTAGTTGCCTTGTTGCATTACTCACAGAACAACCTTTACTTTCCTGGTCTTGACATTTTTAAAAGAGGACAGGCCACTTACCTGACTTTCTCTCCATTTGCATTTGTCTGATGTTTTCTCATGACTCATTTTTATGCATAAGAAGCAGTGACCAAAGATGCATGGTGAAAAGGAAACTTTCAACCTCTGCAAACTTATGAATGAAGAAAATCCAGTTCACCCATTCTTAAAGGCAGTTAGGTCTCCCCACCCCACACATAATACAACTTAAAAAAATTCTTGATACTGATAACATTGATGTTGCACCCAGATCCCCTGGTTACCATTTGGTACCAATAATCTTGTCGCACCTCCATCCACAGCTTCCTACATCTTCAAACATCATATTCCAAAACTCCCACATTGAAGAAAATGGTCAACTCAAGTTATCCTTCCTCACTTTGTCTTCAACTTTTTGTCTTATTTCCCAAAATAGCTGTATAAGCATTCTCAGAAGCCCTTTTGCAGTATTTTAAGATAAGGACAAACACAAAAACACTCCAAAGACAGCGTGTGGTGTAAATGTTGAATAAATAAAAATGACGAGGTTAGTAACAATATCACTGATGATCACTGTGGCCCATTTTAATTTAGAGGGCGCCAGCTACACGTCAGTGAGGGATTCAAATGCTACCCCGGCACAACACCCCGGCCAGAAATCCCTAAGATCACCTTGACGCCACTAAACTTTCCCTACCAGGACAGCTAAAACTGACGAAAGGGATCTTCGCCTGGTTGAATCAGTCTCTCAGTTTTCTGAGTGCCAGGAATCTCCAGATTTGCTTTTCCTCTGGTGAACTCCGGTCCGCACCTTCCGCGGCTCTGGAAACAGGTGAGCCGAGCGGCGGCGCCCTTGGGACGCGCTCAGGTGCCTCGGCCCCGCCCCAGCCGCCCGCCCCTCCTTGCACGGTGCGGACCGGGACCCAGGTGCCGGCGCCCAGGTGCGCAGGGCGCGGGGCTGCAGCTCCGCCCGGCACCCGACAGCGGGCGCCGCTGCAGCAGCTCGCCGGCGGCAGAGCGGAGCGGCTTCGCGAGTTGGGGCAGCTCCTCGCGCTCGGCCCTGCTCGGCTGCCAGAGCTCCGCCCGGGCGCCGGGTTCCCACAGCTGCGGGAGCCGGCGGGCGCCGAGGGGGCGGACCCACCTCCGCGCAGCCCGCCGGCCCCGGGCGGGCAGAGGCAGGCGAAGCGCGAGTGCGGGAGAGCGCGGAGAGCCAGGCCCGCCCGGAGCGCGCTGGAGACACCCCGAGCGCCCCGCGTCCTGGCACCATGCGACCCGCCGCGCCTCCTCGCGGGCCCGGGGCTTCGCTGTCCGCTCGCTGAGCCCCTGCGCTCGCCACCACGGAAAGTCGAAAAGAGGAGGCGAGACATTGGAGGGCAGCACGCAGACGGACTAGACTTCCCCTCCGCCCCCAGGAGGTTGCGGGTTCCCGGTTCCCTGGGCTTCTCTAGCTTTATCATGACCCTGGCGCAAGCTTGGCTTTAAGAGAAATTGAGAAGCGAAGAGAGTCAAGGCAATTCTTTGGTTGCTAAGGTAATTGTAGTTGTGACTGGAAACAAATGGGGGAAAAGATGGTTTGAAACAGCACCCCTCCACACACACACACACACCCATTCATATGTGTTGATTTCATCTCCTGGGTGTGGGTGCTTGTCCATTTCAGATGCGTGACAGGTGCCGGTGTGTGTCTGCAGTTTGGGACTGTGGAAGACGAGCTTACATAAGTGGTTAGACAAGCTGGCGAGCGGACTTGTGTGGGATGGGTGCAGGTCTGCATATAAATCATGTTCCTGGGTTTCTGGGTGTGAAGCGCTCACCGACCAGGACGAGGGTGCAGAGCGAAGGTGCTTATAGGTTCTTCCAAGTCGTCCGATTTTGTCATCCCAAGCAGGGCAATTTGCCTCAAAAGCGGACCTTCATTAACTTTTTCTCTGACTAAGCTCGCCCCTTTGTGATTTGGAAGAGAAGGCGGCGAGTCTCCGTGGTGAGGTGTGGAAGGCAGGGGCGGGTGGTGAGTTCTGTTATTTGGGACCTGCCTTAGGAAAGGAAAAGGTAGGTATTCTCTCTGAGAGGATGTCAAGTAAATTGATTATGTGTAGAGACCCTGTTTACAGTCATTGTTAGGCTGCATAAAAAGTGGCCCAGTGAGATGGGGAAAGTGACCCAGAAAATTGAATTTTGTTCAGAATGAAAGCTGCTGTATTTTGGGTTTTAATTTGATGGAGTAGGAACATTATTTTCTTTCATTGAGATGAGTGGCATTTCTATACTACAAATTGAAGATATTTTGAATCTTGGTGTTGGCTTGGAATTGTTCCCTCAGCGTTTATCAATGCTTAGGAATAGGATCTTCAGGTAAGTTCTGATCAATACCTTTTAGCAGCTCCAAAGTAAAACTGTAAAAATCATCAGGATGAGGTAAAACCCAACAGTGGACCTTCTCTCTCCAGAGAGAATGAGAAACAGATGAATGAGCTTGTATCAGAATGGCATTAGAGAATGGGCTACAAGTTTGTGCATGATCTGTCAAAAATTGTTAGACTGAAATGAAATAGTTAAGGTTTAGCTCCGTATGTTGACAAGATGACTTTTCTAGAATAATTTTCATATGGAATGGGAACTGGGCTGTTGGTGGGAAACCTTCCAAGTTGTACAGTCTTTATTCTCATACTTCATTTTTAAATTTTGCAATGCGAAGGACTACCCTGCAAAAGAAAGTAGAGGATTGAGGGAATTCAGAGATTTATTTTTAGAGAGACACCTTTGTAAACCAAAGCTTGTTTGCTGAACCAGCAAAACCAGGAACACAGATGCTTTTTGAATTCTCTGTTATTCTTAAGGTTAATTGTTGTGTAAATATGGTGACCTTATGGACTATAAACTATATGGAGAGAGTTTACCCTCAATAACTCGTCCTTTCCTGAAAGAGTCTGCAAATTCTAGAAATGTCAACAATTGCAGGGTATTTTGATGAAGGAGATGGCTACTGGTGTTTCCTTTCCTATATTCATTCCATTGGCTCTTAACTTTACTTCCTGTTTCCTTTTAGAAATTTCAATTAACATTCACTGAATTTGTACTGCTGAGAGTTTCAGTAAAACAATGTTAGTCTTTTTTTTGAGGCAATCAATTTGTCTTATCCAGTGAAAAATTCCAAAAATGAAAATGCTTTTGTGAAAGAAATATTTCTTCAGCTGAGTCCAACTTATTTATCTGTGATTTGTGGATGAAATAGCCAACTAAATATATTTTAAGTGAGCAAACATTTCTTGAAATGGAAAAACATAAAAGATATTTTGGATGTTGGAATTTGCCAGAAATTTTGAATGTCTTATTGTCCCCCAGGGACTGAATTTTATGTGAAAGTAGGATCATTTTGTTTCTTATCTCTCCGATCTTCTCCCATGCATTTTATCCCCTGAACTCTGAAGACTTTGCCAGGAATTGTTGAACATTTCATTTTGTGCCAGGGGTTAAGCATCAGAGAGATATGAATAAGGAGCCATGTGTCACATAAATGCTTTTGAAAAGGGATGTGCTCTGAGATCTCAGTACTGGGATTATTTTTTTTTCCTTTAGCTTCAGTTAGTTTGTCTTAATTCTTAGTGCTTTGAACCTAGAAATGCATTTAACCTCTTTATTTTGAGGGCTAGCTGGAAGGAATCTATTTACTGAATTTCATCTTCACTGTAATGTATGGCATGATATAAATAATTACTACATACACATTATCCTGCTGTATGGAAAGAAACAGAAATACAAAATAAATCTGCATATTGAGTGATATGGCTATAACATTTCCAAAAGCATTTTTCCTTCTTTTTCTTTTCCTGAATATAAAAGTAGTATCTTGGTATTGGGAAAAATTCAGGAAAATACAAAGGAAAAAAAAAAAAGAGAGAAAGATTATCTGTAATTCCCACAGATGATGAACCATCACTAACATTTCTTTGAATTGTACATTCTTTTAGATATTAGTCACATCTTCATTGTATTTCTACCCTTCCCCTACAGAATCTTCAAATCTTATAAATAGAACTTGGATATCTATTAAAGGTTTGGGAAATTACTTCTAGTTTACTGGATGATTTTGATAGATCACCTTTTAATTTTTATTAGTGGCCCTATTTCAAAGAGTACTAATTCTCTTTCTCTACTCTTTGAAAATCAGTGTTTGCCTTTTTGGGGCTAGTTTATACATGGGGCTCCCCATCAGATTTACATAGTGAAGCATCAGAAAAGAAGTAGAAAGAGCAGTTGCCATTTGGGTGGGAGACCTGAGTTTTGATTGCAATTTTGTCATCAGTTTCTCATGTGGCCCCGAGACCCCTGTTTCCTCAAAAGGACAAAGTTACTTCATGATTTGGCTCCATAAGCTCATGATAGATGTGTTGCTTTGACATTTGATGAGGGTGATCTTTGCAGAGGGCTTATTCAGACAGACAATTGACCTGGAGTGGGGCCCAAGAGTTTACATTTTTAACCAGTCTGCAGATGATGCTGATCCTGCTGACCTGGGTACCACATAGAACTAGAGAAGAAATTCCTTGGAGCTAAAAATCCTGTTTCACTTGTTTTTTTATTTTTTATTTTTGCATCCATCTATCACATGCCCAGCAATGCACCTGCCAATAGGTATTCAGGAAACATTTATTGAATCAGTATCAATTTTTTTTCCCATGGGGAAAACTTTTTGAACTAGTCAAGAGAATAATCATCCAGAATTTGGGACCATAATGTCTGTATAATAAGAGTAATTATCAGTCATGAAACCCAGTTCTTTAAACTGCATGGAGAGCAAAAATGCTTACAAGTAGACAGTTAAAATGGACATTAAACCTATTGAGTTAGGTTAAATAACTAGGAGTACCTGCTTGAGTTGTCACAAACCACAAAGCACACCAAATGCTTCTCAGTTGCCTCTCTGAGACCTATGAGAGGCAATTCATTTTTTGCCACATAGAGTTGGCCTTCCATACATGGGTTTTGCATCTGTCCGTTCAACCAACTGCAAATCAAAAATATTCAGAAAAAAATTGAATTTGTATTAAACATGTACCACCTTTTTCTTTTATCATTATTCCCTAAACAATATAATATAACTACTATGTATATAACATTTGTATCAGTACCACTATCATAGAGATGATTTGGAGTGTAGGAAAGAATGCGTGTTGGTTAGATGCAAGTATACCATTTTGTATAAGGGATGTGAGCATCCAGGATTTTGATATCTTGGGGATCCTAGAACTCATTCCCCACAGATTCGCTTACCAAAGGGTGGCTGTAGCAGGGGAAGTACCCTGATAATGACCCTAACTACTGAAACAGTCAGTAAAGCAAGCAATGATACCCCTGTTGTCATCCCACCCAAAAAAGGCAAAAAAATAGTTATTAGAGCTCCATGGCCATTCTGTAAGATTGAGTAAACTAAGACACAGAGAAACAAATTAACCTTCGTAAATACACCAGGCTAGTAAGTGGCAGCATGAGAAATCAGAACCAGGCCTTCCAGATCAGAAAAGGGGGGAGGGGGCTTTCTTTACCATGTCCCTCTACTGACATTGAGCAAGCATTTGATAGCTAGGAGATCTCAGCTGGCCAAAATGCCTCAGAATTTTTGATCATCTTGTGGGGATACATTTGGGGTTTGTATTTATTTCTTAGATTCATAGGGTAGGGAAAATATTCACTTGTATGCATGGAAACTTAAAAAATGCAAATACTTGACTATGGACAAATTAGATGCTCCTTTAACCATTGCTATTAAAATGAGTTATAGGGACTGTCTTGGCTTCTCTAAATACTTTGGTAAAACCTTCAAAGGAAAAGCCACTTTCACGTTTGTCCATAGTTGAGTTTTGTTACTTACTAGTATCTCCCTCCTGCAAAGACTGTTTTCTTGCCCAAGTGGAAGTGCTCATTATACAGACTCTGCTGAGATGAGGTGTTCTATAAGGATGTCAGCTAGTGGAGGCCTCCTTTGGAAATACCTGGGACACCTCTGACCCTGTAGCCCAGAGCTCAGACAGTACCACTATCATTTGCTCTTAAAGAAGCACCACAGGCATCTAAAAATCCTATTCATCATGTTTCTGACATCAACTTTCTCATCTGTAAAATAAGAATAAAAACTCTGCCTTTTGAGTAGGTGTGACTGTGAGGACTTGCTGTCAGTCTAGCATTTGAAGAACTCCAAGTCCCTCTGAGAGAATCCTGCTCCACGGTTTTAAAACTGGGTTTTGAGGAGGCTTGTAGGAAGCAAGTGGCCTAGACATTTAAAAGGAGAGGGCCAAATAGGGCAGGTCTCCTTTGCAATAGGCAAAGATGCTACATAAGCCTGAGGGTCATTAATACCAGAAGGAAGAGAAGAGACAACAAGGAGACTCTGCTACCTTGATACTTCTTGAGCCAGATTATGACCACACCTGGAGCAAGTCCATGTTCTTTTTTTCCTTTTCTCTATATCCTTGGCATTTCTTATGATGCTTGGCGGGTAGTAGGAGTTTGGTAAATGTTGACTGAGTTATTGA